TTTTTTTTTTTTTTTTTTTTTTTTTTTCTGCTGCTACAGTACATATATTACACCAGTAATATCAATATTGTTAATTGAGATATCGAGGTGGAGTGGTTAGTTGGGGTTTACATTTTTATTTTATATTACAATATCCATATTATAATATTCATCATTAATTATAATATTACTTACATAACATAGCATTAGATTATTTTTGGCTACATTAATATATGGTATATAGAAAATAATCACCAAGTATCACTCATTAGCAGCGGATTTAGGGGGGGAGGTATCAGGGGGGTTCCTGACCCCCTATTCCAATTTTGGAAAAAAATCACATTAACCAGAATGCGAAGCTAACCCTTGTCCCTTTGGTGTGGGATTTGGTATTTTGGCTTCGCACCCGAGGCCTGCCATTATTAAATAAACTTGACCCCCTTCAAATAATCCTGGATCCACCCCTGCTGGTCCTAATATTAGAGGTGGTTAATGTGCTTAAGTAAAAATGTGACTGTATACAGTCAAACACTTTACTCTATAAAGCAAACCTATACAAATATGCAGTGCATCCTCGTATAGATTCAACTAAAATAAAGAGCTGACCTTTCTTAAAGGCCTTAATCACTTTCAGCTGCTGGACGTCAGTCATACTGGTGTCTCCGCTTTGCCCCGTCATCCTCCCCACACGCACCAATCTCTGGTCAATGTTCTCATGAATGCACCTCTCTAGGGCAGAGCAGCCTTCTCTGGTTCTTATAAGGACGATTCCTGTAACACGAGAGACGCAGAATCAAAATGTGCATTTACAGACGATCATATTAACTTCATGTCATCACTAGCGCAGATTCAGATTCTGACGCTTTTGGAGTTCTTAGAATTTAAATAAAAACTAAGAGCAAGTTTGTCAAAAATATATAAATATTTGTAACAATTGTTTCAAGTTGTGTTTCAGACCAACTTTTGGATAAGATAACCCATGTTTCTTAAGAAAGAAAAAATGAACAAACAATAAATCTAAAATAATATTGATTTTAAATCATCAAATTGTAACACACCCCTAGATTCTGGATTTTTTTCAAACTGTTCAGTCAGCAGCCTGTACAGCTCTTCCAGCATTTTGTTTGATGTTGAAGACTCTTTCTCACAATGGGATTGCAATCTTCCATACTGGCTCAAAAATCTTTTCCTTAACTTCTTTTCAACCTCAGGCAACTGAGAAAAAATAATTCCTTTAATAAATTCATGACCAAATATGTCAACTATCAAAAAACAATGTTGTTTTTTTTAAGATTATGAGCTTGTTTGTATTAAATCAATCTCAATAATATATATTATGTCTAAATATTTCATAAACTTCACACACCTCACCAACATAATATACCAATCATTTTCAGATATTGACACCAACTTTTGTCAGTGGACTTATCAGAAACTCCAGATTGAATGTTTATACTGTACAGGTATATCAGGATAAACAAAATTAACTTTTCTGAGTAAATACTTAAAACAATCCAAGCAAGGATTTCCAACGCATTCTTAATGCAAGAATCTCTTCTTTTTGAACTTGCCTAAAGACAATTAAAACTTTTAAAATATTTATTTACAGATAAATGACCAGATTTCGATCTTTTGTTTTTTCCAATCTTTTGTTTTTACAGAGCTATGGCAAGTGTCAGAAAAGGTACACAAACTGGACAATAGAAGTGTCACCCCTACTGAACCAATAGTCTGGGGGAGATAATGACTGTGAAATGATATGCTCCTGGTATCATTTTATTAACATCAAATTCACAAAAAGACCAACAATACAATCCTATTGTACAACATTTTTGTACTCATTAGTCACATTATAAGTAGACCAGGCATTATAACTACCCAAGATCTACCTACTTTGATTACTCTGATTCAGGGGGTGACACTTCTATTGTCCATTATAGATTAAAGGTTGGTTACTTGGGGAGAAATGTTGTTTATCCTGGAAAAATTCATTTAATATGAGTTTATGGTGGAAAAACCCTGACTTGGAAGGCTTCAATTTTCTTTTACCTCACTGTGAATACTGTGGTCATCATTCACAATCTTTTTTGTTAGGAATTCCAGGGCATCTTTTCCTCTAAGGTCATCATACAGCATAAGGGCAGAATTCAGATCTCTTAGAAATCGACAAGTTATCACAGTATTACGCATTTCAGGTGTATGAAGTGCTTGGTGCTCGGCTTCGTTTCTATTTTCAATGACCCAATTTTCGTATCCCTGACTACCCTTATCAAAGTTCTTAAATGTCCCCATGGGAAAGTTGACTTCACTTTCACTTTCTTCCATCATTTGTTTTACCATTAAGGCGAAGGGATCAGCAGAAGACCGAGGCGGTACCAGTTTGATCTGATCTTTTTTAGGTTTGGGGTTAATGCAAAGCAGCTCTTTTTCATTCACTGGGTTCCTCACATGACTGATGGTGAAGCAGTCTAAATTGGCGCAGACCCGATAATAGTGCTGCAGAGGATCACTTCCCTTTCCAGTCCCCAGAGAGGCTGACAGCCCTATAATCTGAGGAAGGCACTCTGTAGACTCCCCTATTTGATCTCGATTCTTTTTCTCCGTCATGTACAACCTCATTATCATGTTGTATGGGTGATCCAAATCTGTGTGGTGACATTCATCCATTATCATTAGGTTGAAATCGGTGATTTTCACATCTCCTTCTTTAATAGCATTGACAAGAATCTGTGCTGTTAGCATCACAATGTCATTGTACAACAAACAGCTCTTCAAATTGTCCGATGTCTGACTTACGGCACCAACGATGTTGTCCTGGGGTGGAAAAATTGTTTGGAAGGCATCTTTTTGCTGCTGGATTAGATTTCTAATACAGACGATGAAAACAGCTTTGAATTTCTGGCCATTTTTCAGCAACTGGCTTCTTCTTATGCGACAGATATATGCTACAGTCAGGGTTTTGCCACTTCCAGTCGGGGCACAGATGATGGTATTTGTACCTTTTATGGCCTCGCCGGCCAACTCGCGCTGATATTTGCGCAAACAGAATTCCTGCGCTGTTGGGACGCTATCTTGGACATGATGCTCCAGAGGGACAGATGTCAGTCTACTTATGCCTTCATCTCTTTCAGTCACTTCACCTGGTACCTCTACCACTGGCTCACTACCACTGAACGCTGCTTGAGCTAATAGATAAAAATAAGGATCAATGAAAAATGTATGACACTCAATCCTAATTGAAGGGTATAATTATTATGATAGTAATATATATTTTATATATTACTATTAATCCATTTAATAGAAATGATTGTCATCACATAATTTATAATATAAAATAAAACAATAATTAGCAACAACATATAAAATTTTGAGAATGTGAATAGATATGCAAACTAAGCTCACGTTTGAAAAATACACATGCAACCAAACAAAAGTAATAAAATAATTACGCACAACATGTAATATCGATGGAAATAAAAGCATAATTCTTCAAGAAAATGCCAGAATGAGAAAAATGAAAATTTTACAAAAAAATTACATAAATTCAATGAAAAATGATAAGCCTATAAGCCAATAGAGCTGGTTTTCTAATTTGAGCTCTATGTCAATCCTAAGAATTATTCTTTAAGTTAAAAAAATTATACGTAACTCAGTTTTCTTTTCATTATGTTTGTGGTGCCAGTGCATGATATATGCTTTTTGTCAATTTTGATGTAATATAACATAATGTTTAACTGTATAATTAAAACATATTTTAATTAAAACATATTTTAATTATCAACCATTAATAACATGGATATTTAGAAATTTTGACTTCCATTAGACTTGACACTGAAAATGCCAATATGGGAAAGATAAAAATTTCACAAAAATATAAAACAGAAAAAGAAGCCAATTAGACTGCTCTTAAAACTCGGGCTGAATTTTAGTCCTACCTGTAGCCCAGAATACCGGGTAATAGAAAGAAATCTACGCAAACCAAGGTAAACCAGTTCAAAAGCCAAATGAAGGAAACTGAAGAGAACCCACCAAAGAAGAAAACTAAGACCCATTCTGATGTAGCAGAGGAGAGTATGGAGGGGGCTGACCTGGATTTACAGCTAGGGAGCATCTATGATGATCTCTCTGTCTTTAAATTACATGCACAATCACGGAAGAGAAACCAAAATAAGGAAACAAATATCTCGGTAGAGTAATTAATTTAGAGGCACTTTGGCCCGATTATTTTCATTTGGTTTTTTTATATCTTCCAACAAAAACATTTTTAACACCTTAGATACGCAGTTCGTTAAGGCCAGTTTTAAGTCCTAGCGTTATGTAACCTTTCAACCCGGAGAATATACCCATATTCAGGGCAAGTGTAACAAATATTAGAGTCCCTGAATCTAGTTTTACTGATCTACTGTTCATATCAGATATAGTTATTTACGCTGACTAATAGTTTACGGCACTCAGGAATCGGTATAATTCCCTATAAAAAACTGGGCCCCTAAAGTAGAAAGAGAGAGACCCCGGGAGATCGTCACGACTGTTACTATGTCCCTGCCTGCGTGCCAGCCTGTAGCCCGTATGTGAAGAATAAAAATCTACATGAACTACAACTGAATTTGTTCTGCATATTCAAGCCTCCATTCTCTCAAAAATTTGTAAACAACCAAGGTTACACTTACAAAATCAGCGACCTATTACTTTACTGAATGTGTTTTATAAAATAATATCCGGTTGCACGGTGGAACACATAAAACTTGTTTTGGAAAAGCTAATCTCTAGTTCACAGTCTTGGTTCATATCTGGCCGTTACATAGGAGAAAACACAAGGTTAATATAACACTTGATGTACTTTACGGAAAAGCTTAATATTCCAGGTTTACTTGTCTTAACTGATTTGGAGAAAGCTTTTGATTATGTCGACCGGGATGTTATAAATAATGTGTTTGACTATTTTAATTTCGGTGATACTATTAGAATGGTGTATAATATTCAATTTTGATTGCAATGCCTCAGTCAGTCAAAATGCCCATTTATCTGATTGTTCTAAAATTTCGAGAGGTTGTCGCCAATTTGTGATGAAATGCTCTCAGTTTTGATTAAAAATAATAAAGAAATAACATGTATAAAATACGAAACACTGAATATAAAATTCAGCACTATGCCTATGACACCACTTTTATTCTCAAGGGCAGTAGATCCTCATTTTTGGCATCTTTAAATACACTTGACTTTTCTTCAAAAATATCGGATTTTGTAACAAATAAACATAAAACAAAACGAATTTGGATAGGTGCAAAAAATATAGCAGGGAGGTTTTCCATCAGGTAAGGTGGAAGCTAAACTGGGTTTATGGTGGTTTTGGTTTACTAGATATTGAATTTATAGTAGATTTGTTTGGAATGGTAAAAATAAACCTTAAAAAAATACTAAAATTTAAAAAAATGCTGCAACAATGGGAAAGAAGACCTTTAATAGAAATTGGCAGAATCACAGTCTTGAAGACTATGGTTATTCCCCTGTAACATGAAAATCTGACTCCCATGAAAATCTGACTCCCCCAGTCAAAGTTTCATAATAAAAATCTGACTCCCCCTTGAAATTTTGACTGCCCCTCACAAAACTTTAAAAACTTTATAAATCTTCTTTTATTTGAGAATATAACTATTATCTTGTTGTGTGCATAATAGAGGATACATTGGAACTTTTTGAAATTTTTCATGAAAGTATAAAAAAAAATTGAAAATGCGTATTTTTCCACCCAATGACTCCCATGAATAGGCTATGGGAGTCCAAATCCTACAGGTAGTAAGATAAATACTTGTTTAAAAAATTATCAATTTTCACCAGAATGTTCATCCCCAAACTTCCAAATACTAACAAAATATATATCACAATGCAGACAATGTGGAAAACAATGGTATGGTGACTAAATATGAAATAGGGCCTTTTCTTCATGGAAGTCCAAATCCCATGGGTATGAAATAAAAGATTTTTCATGATTTTTTTTTTCATTTTTTGCACCCAATATTTTACCACCAACTTCCAAATATTCCCAATATGTTCTTCATAAAGAATCCTTAAAGGAAATATGTTGAAATGATCACCAAATATCAAATTAATAGCTTTTTCACAGCTTAAGAGCAGTCATTGGGTGGTAAAATGCACATTTTTAATTTTCTTATTTTCTCATTAAATTTTTCACCTGCAAGCTAAAAGAAATGCCAAAGTTATCCTCCATTATGCATACTACAATATAAGAAAATTTATATACTCAAATAAAATAAAATTTATTAAGTTTTGTGAGGGGAGTCAAAATTTCATTGGGGGAGTCACATTTTCATTATGAAAATTTGACTGGGGAGTCACATTTTGGGGGGGGGAGGGCAGATTTTCATGGTACACCGGTGCCAAACCACTTATTTGTTTCAGTTCCCATTTCCAGATGAAATTTTCATGAAGATGTTAAATTCGGCGTTTTTTTCAGTTTATATGGGGCTCACAAATAGAAAGAGTAAAGAGGGAGGTTTTGTCAGGTGATTATGAGCATGGTTGTCTTAAGATGCTAAATATGTACGACTTTCTAACATCGCTCTTATGTACTTGGTTAAGAAGAATTTATTTTAAAGTAACACATATGCTCCACTTCTTCAAGTTGTGATATACTAAAGTACTTGTTCGATTTTGGAAACGCTTACTTAGACAAACTAACTAAGGATTGCAGTAACTACTTTTGGAAAGATGTCATCATCTCTTGGAAAAACGTAACCATATGCTTTAATAAAAAAAAAAGAGCATACCGGGGTATATGGTACGATGAAAACTTTAGTGATAGGTTTAATCCTGTGTTTTTTAAGCACTGGTATACCAAAGGTGTAAAAATTGTTGGAGATTTTTTGACGAATAAAGGATTTTATCGAAGGAGGAATATAAAATTAATTTATATTACAAAACTGCAGTGAACTCAAATTCTATGGTTTACAAAACTCTAATTAAACACAGGACCAGGAACAAAACACTAACCGATGTTATTGAGAATACTCCCTATCCATTTACCCCACAATCTGTAGAACTACTCCTTATAAGCAGATAGGGCGACAAAGACTTGTACCTAACTATCCATAAACCGGAAAAGGATAAAAAAGGGTGGAACTTAGAATTAAACACTGATATAAAGTGGAGAATTGTAAATAGTAACTGTTTTAGGTCTACAAATTAAACCAAACTTCAATGGTTTCAGTAACAGACAATACACAGAATGTTGCTGGTAAAATCATACTTAAAAACTATTGGTGTGGAGGACGATGGCTGCTCATGTTGTGGTGAAGATAAGGAGGATATTTCACATATTTTTTCATTGTGTAAGAAGAAGTTCTTTACCAGAACGGGTAATGAGGTCATTCTTAACTCAGTTTTGGTTTTCCTTCTAACTGTTTTTAGTCTAATAAACTTAAATTATACTAGCTAATAAATTTCATATTTCCGTTGCACAAAATAGAAAGAGAATATGCAGCTTTCATCGCTTCTCAATTTTTGAAAGAAAAACATATCATATACAATACATCTCATTGAAAAACCAAGACTTAACAAATTTTGTCAAAAATATGGGGCATTTGGAGCAATGTTTTTTAATGACCAAATTATGAAAATGCGTGGGGCTTTTGGTGTAGCTTTTTTTCACCAGCCTATACCCTTTATGTTTGTCAATGTCAATGTCTGTAAAGCGGTTTGTGTCTATTGTTTGTAGTTCTTACATTGTCGTTTTGTTTCTTTATTTGTTTACTGTACACTGTAAAGGTATTGGTGTCTGTGTGTGCATGTGAGTGTGTGAGAGAGGGTTAATATATTGACACATTTGCAGTTGTAAATGAAAATTAAATTTCTGCAATAAGATTAAAAAAGAATTAGCCCAACCCGTTGAGGACAAGAAAGGTCATGGAAAACAACGGGTTTTGTGAAGTTCAAATTTAGGAATAACGTGTAACGGTGAACATTTTTAAATCTCTATGAGGGGAGATAAAAATGGGCCAGCAATCCGCCCAGAGGATAAACCTGATTCATTGTAATTTAAAATCGCTTCAGGATGAATGGTTATGAAGTGTGTAGATGCTAGGAGTAGTGGTGAAATGAAGGCAGAAACCCTTTGAAATACCATTGATAAGAAAAATCACCTTATGGGGATCATAACCTTGAAGTTCCACATGTAACTGGAAGTAAATTATTGGAGTTGGGAGAAAATTTTGTCGGCGGGGTTTTGGAGACATGTGATATCGGATGAGATCCCCGGCAGGACTGGCAACAGTGCTTGTATTGACATGGACTAAAGACACATTTTGCCCCTTTATTAAAGGTAAAACAGATATCTCAATAAAAGGGATGTCGAAAAAGGGTGGGGGGATATTTATAGTTGCCACTTTTAACCCAGACTCAGGGATTACTCTTTCCCACAGGAGCAGTATTGTTGCTCGTAATTTGCGAAAGGCGTCATCATAAATACGCCAAGGATTAGCATCAGGTACTGTAGCGTACTTAATTCTCTAATAGTTGAACCGAAATTAAGTAAGTTTTCAGAATCATTTGGAAATGTTTGTAAGAAAATCGCTGAAAAAAAAAAACAAAAAGGCATCAATTCATGTGTAAAGGGTAATAGGCGATTTCTGCGAATTCCATAGACTGGACCTTGATAGCGAAATCATCATTATGTTTGGAGGGAAGAAGGAACCGGAAGTCTATCAACTCAGTGTTCCAATTTTTTTTTTTTTTTTTTTTAGTTGGAGTAGAATAAAAGCTCCCAACAGAATGCCATCAGTTAAATCAATAGGTAGAGATGAAGTGACATGACTCTTACCTGTGTAAACATTGTCACCCAGACTGCTGATACTGGGTATTTGCTGTTGAACGTTGGTCTCTTGCAGAGAGGAGTCAGAAGAAGTACAGGGGGTAGTAGCACTTGGCATATCTGTGTTTGATGCATTTTGATCAGCAATAATGCTCTGTGTCAACAAATCGTCATTAACCGGTGAAGTAGCGGTTGATTCTGTCTCAGAAGAAAGTGTGGTGGTGTCTCTCGGCTTCTTTCCACCAGTAGCCAATCGTCTTTTGCTGGAAGAAGAGCGCACATTGGAGACATCCAACGTCCTAGACCTAGACCTAGACCTACTCCTCCTGGGGATGGTCTTGGTAACTTAAAGACAAAGGAAGATAATAAGACCACACAAAGGCAGATAGATACATATGGCAAAATTTCCTGAACTGGAAATCCATACCAAGAAGCACTTCAAACAACTAATACTATACCACTACAATGTTGGTGCAATGAGTGGTGTAAAAATGCTATAAAAATGTACATTAGTGACCACAAAACCCACCACTTTTTACCAAAATGGAGTGAACATTGTTATAAATTATGAAATGCCCAGGTATTCAAAGTGCCAAAACTGAGAACAGTGAGACGCTAAAGGACTTTTACCGAGTATTCCCTTGGCATTGAAGACTTTTCAGTACTAGTAATGATTTAAACAACTACATCCAAAAATTAAATATTAATGCAGCTCTTGAAAATGTACTTTAGAAAGTGTTATATGTCTAATATTTTTTATTAGACATACCATTTTAGTATTATATAACTTGCAAGTAAATGTAAAATATCTGACCTGCTACTCGTAAAGTCTGTGTGCTGATGGTGGTGATCATCACTCCCAGTTTATATTATTAATATACCATCCAACTTATGGTCGCAAATAAATGTTATAATTATAATATTAAAACAATAAACAATGAAAATAGAAAAATATCTGACCTGTCAATTTTAAAGTGTTTGTGCCGATAGTGATGGTCAATCCTCCTAGGTCACGGAGGACATCTTTGGGTAAATCCTGGACATTGTCATCAATGTGATCCACGTGATGAGGTTGTATACCATAACATATGACAGCAGAGTCACCAGGACGTCCATAGTCCCACCATTTGATCAGAATGTCTTCTTTCCGTAGACTGAAAGCTGCCATCAGGGCTCGGCGTATGCCGTATATAGTCTGCTCTGCACTGCCATGTGGACCTTTACGAACTGTCATCTTCAAGTCTTCGTAAATCATTGCTATAATTTGTTGAAATAAAAGTAAAGTACATTTACTATGAGAGGGTCTGTGTGTGGGGGATGTCTTTTACTAAATAGCTAAATCATAAATTAAAAAAAGATGAAGTTTTTAAAAAATTGATACCTTTCAACTCTGTATTTTCCTTTATGTATTTCCTACATTCAATGTAATCATCTTCCTCCATTTCAACCCAAAAATTGATGTCGCTGTGGCTCAGGCCCAAATCCTCCAGGTTCTTGATGTTGACAAAACTTTCTTCTACAGCTGCCTGTAGCTCACCGCAGTGATAACTTTGCCACAGCTGGTCCAGTGAGTGCACTGACGGACAAACCAAGCGGAGGATAAAACACTGGCGCTTTGTATCATATAACATTGCATGATATTCCTTTATGTATCCAATAGCCTTCTCAATGTCTTCAAAGTTTGTTGTGCGTGACATTATAGTCTCACTCATTTTCATGAAGTGTAAGTCTCTGGCTTCACATAGAGGGGTAGTATCTTCTGGAAGAGGTATATGTACAGCTGATTCTGAAGGAGATGAGGCAGTTGGTGCTTCATCAGAGCTCTCTGTCTGAGTTATGTTCTTAATTGCCTCACCTTCCAGATGAGCTGCTATTCCAGTGATCTGGTCTTCCTCACTTCCTCCACCTGTCACCGAGGGTAAGGGTTCCCTGTCTGGCTGAGTGTCCTCTGGACTTGGTGTCTTCTGACTACTGGAGAAGATAGCTGATGATTTGACTGTTTCCATGCCTGAAGGACTGATCCTCATATGGATGTCAAGATCCACTGAGCCTGGAATTTGAAATTAAGATTTATAGGCATAAAGTAATCTATGACATACAAGTTGCAGAACTTTTTCCCTACTTCACAATATGAATGTATTCTTTTTGTCAGGTGGTTTTGGGGAAGATTCAACAGAAATGTAACAAAGTAAGCTGCCTGGTGAAACCTTTCACCCATATTCTCTTACTTTATATTTTGCATGATACACTCATGGGTTTTCTTATTATTATATTCAAAAATAAAGTTTAATAAAAAAATACTCAATTAGGTTTCTTCTGGCTTGAAGTTATTGCTGCATACTACCTGGAATTTTCTGAAATTCTGGTGTATCTCGGTCTCTGTCACATATTGTCTGGACATTTTCTTGCATTTCTGAAAACAACATAGAAGGTCTCAAGTTGTATTTTATCTGCAGTGTTATGTTGTAAACATCATTTCAAACTCAATTAGAGGCTAGAAAATATCAGAGATAGAGTTGTTCCTGAATCAGATTGTCAACCACAAAAATTCAACCGTGCATAAATTTCATTGATATTAAAGAAAATGTCTAAACCATAAAATACATATGGTCATACCTTTTGTCATTTGAAGGTGCAGACCTTGTGTTGATCTTAAAGATGCAAGTTCTTCTCTTCCTTTTTCCAGCTGAGCTTGTATATTCTGTGAGTCTTCTTTCTGTGCATTTGTGACCTCTTCCATGAACTTCTGTGACTGTTGGAGTTGGTCGGCCATCTCTGACTGATCTACGTTCACATGTGTGATTCCTTGAGAGATTTCCTCAAGTTGATTATGTGTATTCTGATTGTCACTGTCCATCTTCCTAAGAATAGTGTCTTCACTTCTTTTATGAACCTGTTCTACATGGTCCTGCAACTTTGTTTCACTTTCTTTCAACCCATGTATGATTTGTTCATGACTTTCTTCCAATGTAGCTTGCATGCTCATCAAATAATCTTTCATATCTTTGTCATAATTATACCATTCTTTCAGAATGGTCTGGTTTTCCTCCAGTGAAGCAGCATTGAAAGGTTCAGACAAGATGGAATCATAGTCCTCACTGGTAAACTTACTAGAGAGAGACCGCAAAATGGACTTGAGATCTGAGAAATGTGCCCTAAAATCTTGAGCACTAATTGCTGCCTTGTTAGCATGGCCATACACAATGTTTCGATATCTTTTAACTTTCCCAATCGTGGCTTCTGTTGATGTATCTGCGTCAGAGGGGTTGTCCCATGCATTCAACCCTGGACGTGGGTTCAATGATGTGATATTTCTCAGCAAAAGCACAGTCAGTGTGATGTCTAAATCACCAATAGTTATTGATGTGGAGGGATTCCTAGCAGGGTACAGCTGGTTTCGTTGGTGGTAATTAAACACTCTTGATGGTAATCCAAACAGTGTTGTCCTGACAGTTGCATCACCAAGCACCCTACATAACAACCCTGTGTTAGGGTCAAATAAATTGGGATACCTATTTTCAAGCTCTTTTTGAAGAACATCTTGCAATACTTTCAATGCATAATCTACAATTAAAACACTCATACGAAAAAAATTCTCCTTGTCAGGGTTGGAGAGTGACCTTGCTGTTGCCATGTTAATTGTCACTTCTACTGCAGCATAGCTTCATGTCTTAACTGAAATGTAAGATAGATTTTGTCCTAGGCAATTATTGCATGCTATTCAAAATGTAAAAATTCAATTAACCAAATATCTATTGACACATTACCTGAAAGACACAATTCCCATCTTCAGTTGAAAGAATGCACCAGACAAGACAACAATGAAACGCCCAATGTGTTTATGTATTACATAACTCAGCCCAATATTATTTTAAAGAAGGAATGATAAAAATAAACCAAGTTTAGAATGTTATGTTCATGACTCCAGAGGCGCCAGATCCCTGTCAACCATCATTGGAATCAAGTTGGTTTTGCCAAAGAATCAAAGTATTTATTGTACAGCATCGATGGCCAAATGAGGGTCCATAGACATGTTGTAGAGTGCCTCTTGGAAGGGTGTGTGCAGGATAATATCGCCTGGGAGTCAGATCAGTCTGCCTGTATGGTATTAGCACAATGTTAGGTCTGGAACATAATGCTTTGGGGCATTTTACTGTAACTTTCGCAACATTTGCAAGAACTGACTTCATGCATGCTACAGGCTTCATTATTACAACCCACTTGCTCATGGTTCTCGTCTGGGAGGTGATTTGTTGCAGAAACCCAATGTTCTGAGGGTGGGACAGCCGTCTTTAAGCCCATGAATTTCAGAGGAGAACCAACCCCTTGTTTTGATGATCTAAGAAAGGACGGAGGTGAAAAACTTTAAGAAAACTTGGCATAGTTCAGCAGAAGTAAATATAAGCCATGTAGAAGATCATGGACTAAGGCTTTTCACTAGTATGTCACATTTTTAGGGAAATGTGGGCAAATAATCTTACTGTAATTTTTCTTATCCCCCCCCCCCCCCCAAATGCTAAAAGTTTGCACTCTATGGGGTGGCGTCTCAATAGTCCGAAGGTTCAGTGGTCCGAAAAATCGTAATATTTTCACCAGTTTTTAAATCAAGGGTTATTTGTTCCGAAGGTTCTTAGTGAGCAATCAGACCAACTTCTTCATGCTCTCTAGGAAGAGTGGTCAAAACAGAATTGTTACCCTTATTGAAGGGTCGTCGCGCCGCCTACAGGAGATAATTGCAGCACGAGGTAGACAAGTTCCAGTCTCCCGGGTCATTTCGGGTGGAAAGGTCCTCGAACTAATAAGCCTTACTTGTGTTAAGCCACGGTCACAAGCGGACGCACGGATTTTAGGCTCTTACGTCCCCTGCGAATTTTGAGTGCAGTAGAATCCGTGGAGGTCGTAGAGGTAGAGGAAAGTCTGCCTTGCGAGTTGCAAGGGCCAAATGAGATGCCCTTTCAAGCAGGGACGCTAACTGCAAGGTGCAATGGCGGCGGAAATTGTACATATTTCTTGAGATTGACTAGCTACCTGCGTACGTGGCACGCACTCACCACTGTTGAAGAGAAAGCAGTGCGGCGAAAGTAGTTCCAGTTTGCTTCACACTTGCCTCACACACTTGTGATGACGTAGTTACCGTGTACGTCAGTTTTGCCTTCTGTTCTCCCCTTCTTTCTTCTTTTTTTCCTTTCTTTTCTGCTTTCTAAGGTTTTTCCTTGAGTTTTGGAAGCATATTAGAAGCTGAATTAAGCAAAATTCGAATTTCTTGAAAATTGTTGTACAGGGTGCACGATCGGCGTTAGTTTTTGAGACAAGACCGTGCATCGTACTACTGGCGTAGGAGTGACGCACATGCGACGCATTTCCGCGGTGCTTTCGACTTTGTTCTTCAGTTGTGATGGTGTGCGCCGTGCTCAACACGCAAAGGGCACTTGCTCCTTCGTTGCTTCTGACGTGCGTCTTGGACCAAGCGCGTTTCACTTGCGAACTCCTTGCGAGTGAGGCAAGTTACGTTTGCAGCCTCGCTGTTCTCAGAATATTCGTAGAATATCTTTTGGACATTCTCCGTACGTGCATACGGGCTGTCTGCGAACTCCAAATTTTGCAAGAGAGACTTGCGTTGCACGTTAATTCTGAGCAAAATTTGGACGCAAACCGGCCGTAAGAGCCCGTACGGCCGGTGTGAAGGGAATGGGTGTCCGCCGTAATGCATGTCCATAGGACATGTATTCCTAGGAATGAATGTCCTGCGGACACTAAGTCCTGGGAATGCACGTCCTGGCTCTTCCATTCCTAGGAACGCATGTCCTAGGACATAATTTCCTGGGATTTAACGTCCAGTGGACACCCATGTAAGTAATATTACTTAGTATTCTAAGTCCTGCAGACAGGCATCGATCTCCTAGTCGGACATGTTTGACTAGAAATAGATGTCCTGTGATATTTTCATATGAATGATGTGTTAATTTTGAAGATTTAAACGTGATGTTTAAGAATGTTATTACGCTTATTATAATCATTTGTATACATATATCACCACTTTATTCGGCTAACTTTAGATATTTTAAATAAACGAAAAAATTACTAAAAATTAATATTAGATTTAGGATATATACAGGGTTACTACTTAATATGGAATATTATTTTTGGGCGAGTAAATTTTAAACTATTTTAATATTTTAAATCCAAAACTGAGGTTTCACTCCATGTGTGGAAAGGTGTGTTACCTAATTACCATATAACTCTCGAAACAATTGAGGCATGCAGTTGCATGTTCTGTGGTCAGAAATGTGAGGGGTGGTATTTTCGGTAATTTCTGCCCTTGTATAAAAGCGCATGGGTTTAGTCAATCTTTGGAAGGTATTTAAAGAAGCAACAAAGGGATCGCTCTGAAACTTGACAGGTACCTTAGAGAATATATGATTCGATAGCTAAGCAACGCAGCTTACTATGGCATTTTTGCTCTCAAAGAAAATGGCCAGAAACGGACAGCCATTGCCAGACAATTCAACATTTATTAGAAACCGTTAGTAAAGTCCTCCAAAGAAAGGCTACAACAGAGGCACCTACTCCAATACCTCGACCAGGGTGTCCGCGTATCACACCAAGAAGATAGGATCGCCTTCTCCTTAGAGTGCGCCGTGCTGGTCGTACAAAGACAACCAGTGTCCTCAGAAAAGAGTGGCAGAATGTCATTCAAACGCCCGTTTCAAGGTCCCTCGTAAGCAAGGGATTAATGCAAGCTGGTTATTTTGCACGAAGACCATATCCTTCGGGTGACAGTTAATTATTTTATACTTGGTGCCTTGATGACCATTGGGAATATTTGTAGTTAGAGAGACATAATATACAGTTTGAGACTGTAAATGAAACGTGTATAATTGTATGATAAATAAATTGAATGAGTCTGTTATTGTTTATACATGCATTTTTACTATTAGTCATAACATTCTTCTGAGCGCTATTTTTGCCTTTCATATGGATCCCGAATTTCCCATATTAATTCTTTGTATTTTAGGTGAAAGTAGAAAGCATATGCTCTTGCTTATCCAAGGAAATTCCAACTCCAATGAAATTCGGCCACAGCCTCGTATAATCTCCCTCGGGTTATTAAAGGAATTCTAAAATAGCTCAATGTATGATATTTAAATCAAACATTTAAAATCTCGCCTCATCAAAAATTGTATTACAACATAAAGTGCGTTTAGTTCGTTGAAATAGAGAATAAATAAGGATAACATTTGCCTATAGAGTAACATCGCTGCTGAGGATTCGAACTCACGTACGTTTCTCTACGCTGTTGGTTATTCATTCAGCGTCTTACTGGTGAGCCTGTGTGGAAGCTGCTGCCAGCCGACTGAAAATTATCGACAATTATGGTCCCGTGTTTATAATTATTGTACGGACATTAATTATGTAAGACTTGCGTTTCTGTGTATATGTGAAAGGAAATTATGTCCGACAGGAATACATGTTCTAGCTGCGTATAAATACAGCTGGGAATCTAGGTCCGGGTAGGACAATGCATCCTTTTGAACGCACGTCCATAGGACATGTTTTCCCAGTAACGGAGGCTTTAAGTAAACACAAAGTTATATATCGATGTCAACATGGTGTTTGCTTGAAAAAAAACCCTCAGTGTTTCTACACAATATCATTTTTTCAACAAGAGTGCCCTTTCATGTATGCCACAAAAGTGTTGTCTGAGTTTTTTCCCGCGCGAGACGGATACGCACGACTTCACCGACACGGAAAACAACAAAGTGGTATAGCTGCCCAACTAACAGTACCAATAAAAACCGACTGTTCCAGTAAAATTTTCATGTTTGACTTGTAGTTAATGTAAATCTCTATACTGATGCAAAACCATAAAGGTAGTTCAGGAAAATTTAGAGCATGTCGTGTGGCACAAGACAAGGTCAGGTTTATTGAAATTTTGAAAGATTTTACTGCACACTTCTAAAAATATCTTAATATCTCGATATTTGGATTCTGCACCCCTATAAAACATTAGCTTCGACTTCAAACAAAGTCAAGCTTAAAGATATAATTTACATTTCAGCAAAGATGGAGGGAAAAAGGGCCCACACATGGCAATATGTTTTAGATAAATTTTATGTCCAAAATTCGGCCGAGGCTGAGAGCGAGCTGCGCAACCCCTACCCTTCAGGAAGGGGACGTAGGTTTCCTCAGTGCTCTGACAGCCCACTAATAGAGTTGTCTCTCTTGGCCTTATAACTTCCATATGTGCCCTATGCTAAGGTTATGCCCTGTATGTTGACTTAAACAAAATGAGAACTGCTAACCCATAGAGGCTTACCTATATGTCAAATCTTTCTGAACATAAATACCATACATATTATAATGATACATAGAATTAATAATTGTTTTGTAGTGTTAATTAATCAGGGAACATTAGGGAGGGACAGGGTTGGGTTTGAGAAACTTTATGAAATTCACTGAAAACTATTCTCTCCTGAGCATGTACTGCTAGGTTGAAAATTTCTAAGGAAGTGAGAGAGAGTGTTCTTTGTTTTTGGTGAAGCTGACTCCTTATGATTCTGATTGGCTGATCATAATGAGACTAGGTTGTACTGTCCAATCAGGTTTTGCTATACTGGTGAAATACAAAGCGGAGACATCCTGTCTGTAATTAGGGAAGAAACATCTGGAGCTTATCTTTCTATCAACCAATCTTAGTCCCTGGGAGTTTCCCTGGGCATCTTACATCACATTAATACCCTCATCAGAGTCAAACCCTTCCCCCCCTCCCCCCCTCCCCCCCCTAATTAATTTACAATTTTCTTAATTTTTTTTTATTT